AACAACGTCCTTACCCTTTAGCTTTAAATCTTTGGCGACTGACGTTTTAATTAAACTGATCTGAGCGCCGGAATCTAATAACACGTTTCCTTTCTTTTTTAGACCATTTAAACCAAGAATGTTCGCTTGTACAATAGGAAGCATTGCTGTTTTGTCTGTTGTAAATGTTCCAATCTTTGCAGCAGGATGTGGGTTATCTTCATGGAGTAGGTGATGATGGTAGTATTTACACTGGTTACCGTTCACTTTCTCTTGGCACTGACGTCTTCTGGAACAATTTGATGATCTGTGGTCTCTACCTGCACGCTTAAGACAACTATAACAGGCATGATTGTCCTTAACAGCTTGTAATCGTTCACTGGGATTCATAGCTGAAAACTTTCTGCATTGATCAACGAAATGGTTGGAACTCTTGCACACCCAGCACTTAGGGTTACTTCCAGAAATATCAGCATTGAAACTTCCAACCGGATGCCTGGATTGCATACTTCTCAGAGGCGCTGTAGCTCTCATTCTTGTTTTCATTTCTGTTGTCATCCATGTGATTAGATTTTCTAAAGTAGCCTCTTTTCCACTGCTTTCCAAATGGCGCGACCAGATCTTCCTGTCATTCATGTGCAATTTCTGTTCAATTATTGCTATCATGTGATTGTTATCCATGTCAAACTGTCTGTTGACTTCCTTGAGCGTGTTGTAGCTTCTTCTAACCAGTTGGGTTAAATCACAAAATCTTGAGTCTTCATCTTCACGAAGTGGTTTGAATTTTGAAATGTCATGGGTGACAGTGTCGGCGACCAATCTAGGGTCTCCGTATATCGAATCTAGGTGCTCCCATGCAGCATCGTAGTCGCTACCAATTCCTTTTATCAGCTCCAAGGGTCTTCCGCAAAGGCTCGTACGTAGCAAGGACATTGCATCTCTTTTACCGTACCTTGAATCTACAGCATGTTTAAAATCAGCTCGAAATATGACGTAATCTCGGACGTCTCCAGCAAAACGCGGCATCTTGGGTCTTTCCATTTTGAATCCACAGGGTGTTGTGGCGCTTTGTTGAACATTTTCTTGGACATTATTACTCGATTGAGCAATATTTTCAGAAGTTTCTTCTTGGTTGTTCACATTTACAGCTTGCTGTTCAGTTGCCGAAGTTTCTCCGACTGTTTCCGACTGTTCAGTGTTCGTTTGGGCTTCACTTCCGTTATTTCCGCTACTCGCTTCCGGTTGTTCAACACTTCCGCCCAATGTCTGTTGCATGTTTTTATTCATAATATAATCATTTGTTGTACATTCTAGTTGAAGATACGCATCCTGACTTTCTTCTAGCCATTTTTCCTCTGTTTCGAATTCCTCATCATTTTCAATGTTCTGGGCATATTCTTCATGTTTAACGACTAAATCATTATACGCCTGTTTCACCTTTTGCAAAGCTTCGGTTATTTCGCCTGGGGGTCTATCGTTTTGTAGTTTAATTCTCAGCGTTTTACTTATACGGGTTAGCGCGGCTTTAGCAGTTCTACGTCTTAGTTTCGCTTCAGATAAAGCTTTCGCTTCAGCCTTGGTTAGCTTCTGGTTAGCACACAAGTTTATCTTCGTTTATATATTTCTTACGGACGCCAGGTTAGCATTGGAAATCGAATTTGTGGTCCGATGAAATGAATACATTGCCCGTCAAATCGTATATTGTTACACTGTTTTTATTCGATCTATAAATTGAATTACAACTACAAATTACTTCTAATTCTACACTATACATACTCTAATACACAAATATGAACTTACTTCTTGGCGGGTTAACACATTTTAATCTACATTTGCTTCGTATGTTTTCCTAAGGGACGGACCATTTGATTTTTCATGGGGGAGGGGCGCAAATCCGAAAAAAAATATCGAGCATGTCTCGAATGGAAGAAAAAAAAATCGAACATCACTAACACCAGCAAAAAAAAATATCGAGCACAAAAAATTCTAAATTAGCAATACTCTATATTGAAAGAAAAATTCAGTTTCCCTTAGTTTTTTGTTGTTGAGTGTTTCGGTTCTGCCTTGGTTAACAATACTGGAAGTATACATGCAAAATACAAACCGATACAAACCAGTTCTGACAACTTTGACTTCAATAATTCAATTATCCACAAATTACCTTAATGGTATCCCTAAAACCCCAATCTTAACACTGAACGTCCCACACTTCTGTAAATACGACATCGATTAATGAGAGTGGGAAAGGGGGGGGGGGTACGATTCACGTTTCACAACAAAAAAAACCGTTTCACAATTCACGTGCCATAAAAAAGCAATTTCACGGATAACGAGACTCTAATAAAAATAATATAATAATAATAACTTTAAGATTATGTTTGATGCATGGTACAGTACTATGCTTTAAGTTCTCTTCTCTGCCTGGCAGTTAAAAACTACTTACAAGTTTGAGTGATGAGTACGTCCGACGATCTCCGAAAGGCCTCCGAAGTTTCTACTCTTGTGCAATCGAGTGAGATCGATCATATAAATTATTATCGCGTATTATGTCCATTATCACTATTATAAAATAGATCGGAATAAACAAATCAAAATCACAGTTCACGAAACAGACATCCTTAATTCCCATTTCACGGAGCATTTTTATCGACAATCACGCCTCATGGCTGTAGAACAAATCACAGATCATGACAGTAAAATCAAGCATTTCACACGATCAAATATTGACCATTCACGCAGTGGTGTAGACAGGGGGGGCTCAGCCCCCCCCCCCACCAATAGGCTGAAGGACTGCCCTTGTAAAAAAGATGAAATCCGGGTAGAAATTAGGGGGGGGACGATGACTACCCATGTGACTACCAATCTCATCTGTTCACCAAATTGTCTATAAAAGTTCTAATCTTTCCTAAATCTAACTACAGAAAATAATGCCTATGGTGGTTATTGGTTAAAATGCGTTTTAAACTTCGATTTAACTATTCACACGAGACCAAGTAAGCTTCCTTGAGTCAAATTAAGGATCCACATTATTGAGAAATCATTAAAAATCAGGTCTTTCCTGCAGTAAATAATCTTCAGAATTATGCAAAATCTCTCCCCAGAAACATGGGAAATCGCCATTGAGGGACTCCAGATTTCAAAATTTTCCCGGGGGAGAATGCCCCCGGACCCCCCTAGAAAGGCCCTCCCAAAAATTATAGTCTGGCTACGCCACTGCATTCACGGGTCACAAAAATACCCTTTCCTACCTGGCTCATTAATATCGCTCTCTGATTCTGAATAAAAATTGCAGTTTATAATACGTATTGGGAACACTGATACGATTGGAAACCGTGAGAATTTGTATATAGATGCCATTACGCCAATGCAAAATGGGTTAATACACTTGATCCAATTTTGATTGAGGCTATGGCCCCTTTTTATACGGGGCTATCGTAGACCATAGCCCCGTATAAAATGGGCCAAGTATAAAATTGGCCAAGTATAAAATGGGCTGTGATAGTTATATCATAGAATAGGAAGGGATACCAGAAGTCTCACTCAAGCAAGTATTTTTTCGCGTTTTTACAAGCAATTCGTCATCAATCACGCCATCCTGGCTAGTACAACCGGCACTTTGTACCTATCAAAACCTGATAAAAACTTCCGGCTGTACTAGCCAGGATGGCGTGAGCGAGCTAAAATTTTCCTGGGTTACACTTCTGCTATACTTTCCTATTTTGTGGTTATATGCTGTATATTCAAATACATTCTTCAGCCGGAATATAACCATACGTGGTTATTATTGTATTAACGCTATAGTAAAAATTTAAAAAAATATCGTGCATGCGGCAAGATTCGATAAAAAAAAATCGTGCGGAGTCGGTGAGGTCCAAAAAAAAATCGAGCACTCTCAAAAATGCGCTCCCCCCCATGAAAAATCAAATGGTCCGTCCCTAAGCACACGCCTTGTCTTCATGTTGTTTTCGACTCGTGAAACATGCAAACTGTCAATCATATCCACTGTCTATTATTAACTAATTAACTTAGATATTAATATTACTTATTTTATCTAACGTCAACAAAATATCAATACAAGGGCTGTAGGAAGCTTTTTTATTGGGGGGGGGGCTGAAAGCGAGGGCCGAAGGCCCGAGGAAATTTTTAAATTTAGAGTCTCTGAAACGCCATTTCCTGGACTTTGGGGAAGATTTGACAGAATTCTGATAGTCAGAAAACAGCGTTTTAGTATGTCGAAATTTACAATTTCGTAGTACTAAATGGGCGAAGGTGTATTTAATTTACTATATATTGGATAAGTTGCAGGAAAGTGTGGGTAATATCTTCATTCTTTGCAGTTTGTCATGGATAATGTGGCCGCTTGAAACTAATAAAGCTTAATATTGATAAAGGTCTGAATGATTTTGAAAGAAGAATGATTTCCAGCCCCCCGGTTGCTACGGCCCTGCATATAGAATTCTGCTCCAACTGATTCTGCCTTTTGTCCGCCGTATTACATATGCATGCTATTTTGTATCCAAATTGCGGGCAAATATGCAGGAACACGAGGGAACAATAACACGTGATTATATATTCGATTTGCGATCCGTATATTAAATGATTAATAATGTGCATTTAAGAATACAATATTATATTATTGAAAAAAATTCTATGAAACTGCCATATGTGTGAGATTTACTGAACGTGGCGTGAGAGCGTGAGAGTGAAGCGAATTGCGTGAGACTCACGCCAAATGCGTGAGAGTTGAGAGGTCTGACGATCATGGGGTTAGCGCGTCTGTCGAAAATTAACCTGAAGTTCAGGCCCTATCACAGAATAGGGCCTGACACAAAACCTATCTAAAGTGTGGGATTCCCGTCCACCTGGTGGACGGGAAATCTGATTGGTTGATCAGCATCATGAAGGATTTTGATTGGTTGCAAGTTCACATAAACAACAGTTTTAAAAATAGCTCGGTCAAGGCGAGAATTAATATAAAGGTCAAACGCACGTAACAAATTCCATTATCGATTTCTTCGAATTTCTTTTCTTTTATGCTTTATGGCAGAAAATAAATCAAACAAACAGTATTTTGAAAGGGCTTCATCAAAATCTTTGACCAATTTGGACACACACGACGCTGAAAGAACAGCCAAACTAGTCATGTATTCGAAAGCTTGTTGTTGACAGCCAAGATGTTCTGCCAACTTGCTTCGCCGGCAAAAGTCTTATTTTTAATATCAGGTCGTACCGTCGTAATTGTTTTCTGAGCTACATCGCCTTCTTCGTGGTATTATTGAGAATTTAATTGTTGCTGTTTAATATTAGCCCGTTAGTCGTTAGAGTATATCCGCGTCCAGCAAGTTGAGACCTTGAGAAAGCTTGGCAGTCAAGCTGTGCACAGAACTGACTAATTAAATCTTTGTTTGCTGTTCGCCTGTTCGGTTAAATAGAGAAACTGACTCTTAATTATATAAAAGTACCTTGAATTTTTAAGTTTAATTAAAAAGCAAAATGCTCTGCGGACATGTTCATGAGAATATAAATTTTTTGTGTAACAAAATCTACAACACTTGTCAATCATATTGCATGTGTGTCTAAAAATAACATGTGGGCGTCCCACGGTCTAGACAGGTTTTGTGTCAGGCCCTATTTCAAATTAGGGCCTGAACTTCAGGTTAGTCTTAACCTGATGTTCAGGCCCTAATTTGAAATAGGGCCTGACACAAAACCTGTCTAGACCGTGGGACGCCCACATGTTATTTTTAGACACAACATGCAATATGATTGACAAGTGTTATAGATTTCGTTACACAAAAAAATTTTTTCTAATGAACATGTCCGCAGAGTGTGCATTTTGCTTTATAATTAAACTTAAAAATTCAAGGTACTTTTATATAAATAAGATTCAGACAAAGATTTAATTAGTCAGTTCTGTGCACGGCTAGACTGCCAAGCTTTCTCAAGGTCTCAACCAAGGGAGCACGCCAGAAATACTTGTGTAAATTTATACTAACCTTTTAATTACATGTAAATGTTTTCAATTTTCATCGGCCGCCATTTTGAATGTTGAAAGCGGTATTAGCGTATCGCAGGCGCAATAATTTATATTCATCTTTGACATTAATTTATGTTACACGATGATACTCCGAAGGGCGACCGAGAAAGATCCGAAATTTAAAATAAGGCGGAGAAATAATAAAAAATAAAGAGGGGAGTGAAACGGCCGAACACGTGATCCACTGATGCTGGTTGACTGTTACTAGGGACATTTGATGTTGCTAGGAACAAACCGGAAACAAAATGAGACCTACTACTAGAAGTTACTATCGCAAGGAAAGTGCTGCCTCACCCCAAGGGATCAAAGACAGGGAGCATACGCAATTTGCTGAATAATGGCTATTTATACGGATCTCGCTTAAACCGCTTTGCCAGGACGAGATATGAGGCGCGATGATTTTGTGAAAAACTTTATTTTCTGGAGATGGATTATAGTCAACTGTAAACGAAAGGTTGTTCAAAAAGCTATAAAAATCTTGAACTACATGATTTTCTCTACAACATTTGAGTTCGGTTAGCCAGCATTTGAACTTTTGTTTATTTTAGTGACTTATTTCAATACATCAAAATCATCCCAACTTCCATCACGTAAACAGCCCAGAGTATGCCCGTTCGCAGGTTAGGTGCTGGGCACACTGGCTGGGCATGACCAAACTTGCGAACTGGCATACTCTGGGTACGAGATTGCTAATATAATACGCCTGTTCAGGATGCAGGAAAAGACCGAAAAGTGCAATTTGAATATCAAACACCTTGCACAAAGTCGAAGTTCAGCTAAGATTTTAATCCTACTTTCTTGGTATGGGGGGGGGGGGTTATATGAATCCCTTCAATGCTTATAACTTCTTGCTTTTGTATGTATAATTATACTGTTAATGGTAAAGCTAGCAATTATTAAACTAAACTCTACATGTCCAATGATTTATTCACGTATTATGATATCATTGTTGATATATATGGCAATATGTCTTTGTACAGTACTCAGTGGCAAGCTAGCCACGGCAACTGGTCATGCTATGCTAATAAACCTAGTTATAATATAGCATTTGTAAATTCTGAACGCTGATTGGCTAAGAGCCGTGTTGATATAACTCGATGTCAACACGGGAAATTTTCCGCCGCTTGTAAACACGGAAATTTTTCTTATCCTTCGGGCTTTTGACGTTGCTATATTATAAAAAAAATATAAAACATTTTTTCCGTATTGATATATAGTTATATCAACACTCGTGGAAGTTGGGAAAACTCGAAATTGTATGAAAACACTCCGCCCTTCGGGCGTCGTGTTTCCATACAATTTCTCGTTTCCCCAATTTCCACTCGTGTTGATATAACTGTATATCAACACGGAAAATGTTTTATATTTGTTAAATATAAATCATTAAAAACTTGCATGCATGACTTGTTGCTACAATTTCATATACCTTACTTATATAAAAATTTGAGCAGTACTAGAATTCGCGCAGCGCTGGGTTGCGCGAATTTTAGTAATGTGCGAAATATAATCCGCGCAAAAAGCTTTGTGATGTAATATGAGACACCGGTTGTTAATAATGAGAACCATACAATAAATGTTCGCCGTGGATATAAAACAACAGTGAAGCACATTACACAATGATTGTTTAAACCTGTATCTACTCGCACTACTGTATACACAAAGCCATACACACATTTGAGTGCACCATAACTCCACAACACTCTCTACAGCACCAGGGAATATTACAAGTCCTTGTATAATATAAGACAATCATTGGGCTTATTAGAACTGCAAATTGATGAAATCATATTGGTTTCAATCACTGAGCTCTACTATATATATCTGGAGATCGTGCTCCCATATCTCGTCAAACAAAAAAGTGTCCGCAAAAACATGGCGGATTTCGAGCTCCGCGTCCACTATTTTCGGGCGATTTACCACTGACCACATAATATTTTTTAAAGCCACCTGTTTTCGCACCCCCGTGGATGCAAAAAGTATACACTGTGTAATTATTAAACTATCAAGTAGTGATGGGCGATACCAGGATTTTTAATTCGATACCGATACCGATACTTTTAAAATCGGTATCGGCCGATACCGATACCTATTTCGATACCAAAATAAACACAAAATTTCAATTTTCGATACCGGAAGTGAGTACTTAAATTGCTAGTATTGGCTATTTTCGATACTTGCCGGTCAGTGGAAAAACATTTTACTTTACTGTATGTAACCTAAATAAAACTATAAGTAAACCAAAAGTCCGAAACGTAATAAATATACTCTATACTTGACTTGGCGCACCACATTCGGAATATTAACAGTTATTTTAGTTGTTCATTAAGTCTTATTCAAACAAGAAGTGAAATTAAACATGTCGTTTAAAAAAGGGTGCAAGTATCGAACGAACCACGTCAGTAATCGATACCGATACCGCTGTTTGTGGTATCGCTGGTATCGAATACCAAGTACTCGGTATCGCCCATCACTATTATCAAGTTTCACAACTTTATATTTTGTCAACATGCCGCGTTTGTATGGCGTCATATCACCGCCAATATTCATGTATATCATGCTTTCGACATTGAAGTTAAATAGGACATTCAGCACCTACGTGCTTTCGACATTGAAGATAAATCTGACATTGAACATGCAGAACATTCAACATATTTTCGACATTGAAGTTAAATAGGACATTCAACACCTACGTGCTTTCGACATTGAAGATAAATCTGGCATTGAACATGCAGAACATTCAACATATTTTCGACATTGAAGTTAAATATGACATTGAACACCCATGTGTTTTTCAGGTTATTAAGCCGTGTAGCAAAGCACAGAACACGTCACAAGTAATATACAAAATTATTCTGGTTATAAATAATATATGGTAATTATACAAACTATGTCTTACGTCATCTATATAACAACTCTGAATGCCATACGCCAAAATGATGTACGTTTTTGGCTTTTTATCCATCTGCCAGAGCGCCAGTTTGCCAGAGCGCCGGCAGTTTTGCCAGAGCGCCAGTTTGCCAGAGCGCCGGCAGTTTTGCCAGAGCGCCAGTTTTGCCAGAGCGCCAGTTTTGCCAGAGCGCCAGTTTCGCCAGAGTGCCAGTTTCGCCAGAGTGCCAGTTTCGCCAGAGCGCCAGTTTGCCAGAGTGCCAGTTTTGCCAGAGCGCCAGTTTTGCCAGAGCGCTAGTTTTGCCAGAGCGCCAGTTTCGCCAGAGTGCCAGTTTTGCCAGAGTGCCAGTTTCGCCAGAGCGCCAGTTTGCCAGAGTGCCAGTTTTGCCAGAGCGCCAGTTTGCCAGAGCGCCAGTTTTGCCAGAGCGCCAGTTTCGCCAGAGCGCCAGTTTACTAAAGTGCTAGTCAGTTTTGCCAGAGCGCCAGTTTGCCAGTTTTGCCAGAGCGCCAGTTTTGCCATAGTGCCAGTTTTGCCAGTGGCAAGTAAAGGAATTCGATTCTTTTCTTTCAAACCATATCGTATACTGAACTTAACTAAACGTACTGCTTTGTTTCAGAGAATTAAAACAGAAATTACTTTGACGCAAAAGAAAATGCTGAAATATATTGCGATTTACGATTAAGTTAAAATTGCAATTCTATATACTAGATTATACATGCTCTTCGTTCAATCTGGTTTGTTATGCGACCTTTGTCAGTTTGTCTTGCATATGAAAGATTTATTACTGTATATATGATCACACCATCTTACATAACAAGTTATTGTCTTTGTCTATTGCTCATATTTGTTGAGGAAATATTGTTATAATACTTTGATATTTCTAAACCAGAGAGTCGAAATTCAAAATACCTGCCCTGAAGCAGAACTGCGATAACAACGAGCCGGT